AAAAACAAAGTTTTTCACAGATATAAATGTCGGGTTCATGATTTTCTCGAAAACAACTTTCAAAGCATTTCATTTACAATTAGCCCATGTAAATTTTGCTGCTAAAACGGGAGTTAACGTTGATTGAAGTTTGAAATCATAAAAGTGCAGATTTCTCGGTGTTCGGTTTCTGGCAATTACCGTTGACCTAATTTTAAATGGCGTTTCAGTGAATAGCGCTACGATGTTGCCGTTTAGCTTTTCTTACTCTTGGATATGTTGGCTTCATATCCGTATTTACATATTTGCAAAATTCTATTGCGTGTTTTCACAAACCTCGCGCAAACCACCGGTATACTCTAACTTTAACACCAAAAAACGTGCTTGAAATTTGTGACTTTCGGAAAGAAAAAAAAACTTAATGCAAAAAATAGAAATACGGATTTAAACTTCAAGACCTTTGCTTCAAAACAGTGTAAAGTTTTTGATTGCATGAATGACTGTAGAGATGACAATTAACATTTTATTCACGTTAGTTAAATTATCAGCCCCGCTGATTTTCAGAATCACGTGACGCTAAAACAAACACAATGTTCACAAAATATTAATAATAGGAAAATACAAGTCGAGAGCTTTCCAAACATATATAGATTGTATGGTTTCATACAATAAAACTATCCTGCTACCTTAAGCGGCCAATAAGAGCTGTAGCTGTGGAATCATAGCCCTATGTTGCCGACCGCATTATTTACGTGACTGACTCTGGCCGGCCCATACAACTACAAAATTAAAAAAAAGACGTCCAAATGAAATTGTTAGAGCGAAATTCGATTGTAGGTCGCACCAAAGAGCTACGGAACCGCAGCTATAAGAGCTGCTAAACTGCAGCAAGAACTACCTGTGATAATATCAACTCTCATGGTTTCGCTTTTTTACATTTTTAAATATTTTATCGTTAGTATGGTGGAAAAGAACACTTGATTATTCAAGTATGCGGATGTATATATCAGGAACCAATCAATATATTCCTACCACACTTATTTATATCGTCAAGAGCCCGAGGTAGACTGTGGTAGTGGTAACTTTGAATGATTGTTAGGTACCTCGATTTGCCAGTTCTTTTCTCTGAGGTAGTACTCGGCTAATGACGTATCGGTACCGGTGACAGCGGCAAACTCTTCACAAAGCCTCCTCTGATCGTCGTCAACAGACTCTTTTACATCTGCTGCCGCCATCGCACGTTTTGAGTCAAAATAACAAGAACGATAAACACACGAAACCAGCGTGGCTCTACTGTTATGCTAATTTTGAGGAAACACTTCCGGGAGTCAATCCCAGACCCGAGCATGCGCAGAATGAACTAGATGTTATGGTCTCAAACCATCATACGTCGTTCTGATTGGTCGAAATTGTGTTTTTGATTATGCAAGCCAATCTTGAATAACACACGTAGTATGTATGTCAACTGAAATCAGCCAAAACTATTTTGCGCTACGGACATACTGCATAATGAAGAACATTGTGACCATTGGGTAGCATCAGAGGTACATTACTTGGGGTTTGCAACGCACATAGTACTGTAGGGCTCATACCACTAATTGAATTTCCATAGACGACAATGTTAACATATGACGAGATTGCTATATGAAAATGACGAAGAAAGTTGAAAATATGGCTTAAAAATGGGAAATCAATATGCCAGTAATCAACCATATGAAAAAAACTAACATGTTGGCCAGCTCAAACTCTTGCAAATCTCAGGTAAACAAGACACACCTACTGTATTTGGATTGCACCAAGAGAAATCACTGGAAAAACACCAAGATTAGAACATCCAAATACACACAGAATAAACCCACAGGTACACAGCCGCTAAGTAGTAAACAAAAGACCACAAGTTGGTCTCACCTCTGACCCAGGTGATTACGCCCTCAAACAGGGAGCACCTGAGAAAAAAAATATTTAAAAAATGTCATTGGTTCTTGCTAGGCATTTAAATTGGGCTACGAGCAGCCATTGGTTAATTAGTTGCATGATACCTGTATGGTGACACCATGCTAAGATCCCATTCAAGTCTCATCTCGTAGATAGCGAGACTGATGCTACTATTCTGACATGACATAGTCGGTTTGTAATAAAACAATAAAACATGTATTACCACATCACCAGTGAAAAAATGTAATACATCGAAAATGTACAGAAAATATAGTTATCATAATCCGTCATATCGCGAGCAGCTATTTTGATCCACCTGGACATCCCAGTATCCTAGTTACCTCAGGCATGCGCATTCGCATTTTTCTGAGTTGGAATGCTTATGCGAGAGCGAGATTGTAACGGGATTATGGTATCATGTCACCGTAGTTGCAAACCCCAAGTAATGTACCTCTGGTATATTAGGTTCAAAAGACGCCAACAGCAACAAATTGGTAATTTACGTCTGTATTTTTTTATGCCGATTGAGACGGTTATACATATATCAGTGTCGTCGCTAACACGATTTTTACCAGTACATATTGTGTATTGGGGCGCAGATAAGGTCCCGATGAATAGGAGCGCCTCCACATTCACGGACATGTACGCAGAGCTACAGGGCTACCAACTCATAAAAGCTAGTGGCCCTGACAAAAAGTTGGTGGTCCAAATTGCCAATATAATGCTGTTAAAATCAGTATAAGCAATATACAGTATATTTACTTAAATAAATGCAACACTGTCAATAACGCCGTGTTTCCTTGACACTAATAAATGTGATAGAAATATACTGATACTTTATTAGTCCCCGTTCGGAGGCAGTCCGAAAACGGGGACTTATGTTTTGACCTCTGTGCGTGCGTGCGTCCGGACCTGTATCTAAGAAATGCCTGGACCAATCACAATCAAACTTCACACATACATCATACATTACATTATTCATATGCACATCAATTTGTTTCACGATCTGATTCAAGATGGTCCAATTTAGCATTTCTCGGCTGTTTACAGATGGATTTTGTTCAAACTTGGTATATACATTGGACATTATAGGACCTTGATATTTCTCATATTTCCTTTTCTATTTTAAAATTCCTCTTTGAAATAGAGCAGAATCTCTGGGAGGCTACAGTAACTTAAAATGATCTTGCAAAGCAGAAAGTGTTCCCGTTGGAATTAGGGGAAATGTTATTTATGCCAAAAAGAAAATGATATGGACCAAAAGCATATTTAGTAATTGATAGTGAATATTTGGCTGGTCTAGTATCAACATAAATTATATGTATTAAATGACTCTTGCAAAATCGTAATATATGGTCAGAAGTTAGACAGGATATGCTATTCATGCATTTTTGTATTCAAACTGAATTTCATAAGATAAGATAAGATAAGATAAGATAAGATAAGATAAGATAAGATAAGATAAGATAAGATAAGATAAGATAAGATAAGATAAGATAAGATAAGATAAGAAAATTTTTATTTGGTACGGGAACATATAAAATGCCATGACCATGAACAAGAGAGAACAAATTACATAACTACTAAACTAAAGTAAACTAAACTAAAAAAGCTCTAAAATACTAAAAACAAATTTGGCTAGGCCTGAATAGATAAATTTATCGGTATTTGAAAACATTTCTGCAAATAAATTATCATCCCCAATGATTTCAAGATTTGGTGCATACATAAATAAAGTTGTAAAAAAATCATTTCTAAAATAACTAATTTGACTATTATTACA